TTTTCTCTGGCCTTTACCTCTCTACCTCTCAGAACCTCTCCCCACCTCCTCTGCACTGGAGTACTTCTATCCCTGACGTATCTATGCACCGCTGTGGATTATTATTTACATAATAATTTTGTTAAGTGGCTCAATTTTTTTTTAAAAAAAAACATTTTATTATGGAAAATGTGATACAAAAATAGAAGCGTGTAACCAAAATACCAACCCCCAGGAACCCATCAATCAGTTTCAACAATGACGGCCTCATGAACGGCTTCGTTTTTCAACAGCTTGAATAAATGGGTTTTAAATGGAAATTTCATGAATGGAAAACCAGAATCACTTACCATGGAAATAAATACAACGATTATTAAATTCTACCCAGAGTCCCTCATATGCTGAAGGGTCTAACCCCAGGGCCTCTTCTCCACTGGTTGAAAGGGAAGATTAGCTGACATTGGTGAGATGCTTAAAATGTCATGTGTGTCAAGTGTGCTGGGGCGGGCACTCAATCCCAGCTCTCTGGAGGTCAACCTAGGCTGCAATACTAAGTTCCAGGCTAGTCAGGGCAACTTAGCAAGACCCTGTCTCAAAACAAGACAGTAAGTAGGCCAGGGAAGTGGCTCCACTGGCTGAGTGCTTGTCTAGCATGCATGATGGCCCTGGGTTCGATTCCCCAAAACTCCATAAACCAGGGATGGTAGTACAACCCTGAATCCTAGCACCAGGAGGTGGAGGCAGGAACATCAGAAGTTCAAGGTCATCCTTGACTACCTAGAGAATTTGAGAGCAGCCTGGGCTTTTTGAGGCCTGCTTCAAAAATAAAAGCTGAGCATGGTCATGAACTCCTTTAATCCCAGCACTGGGGAAGCAGAGTCAGATGGACCTCTGTGAGTTTAAGGCCAGCCTGGTCTAGGCAAGAAAAGTGCCCTGAATTTGAGGTCAGCCTGGGCTATATAATGTAAAAAAAACCTGGGGTTTTGCTTTTTTGTTTTGTTTTGTTTCATTTTTAACAAACTAAGAAAGCCAGTTGTGGTAGGATTTGCTGAAGGAGGCAGAGGCAGGAGAATCACAAGTTCGAGGCCAGCCTGGGCTACACATTTTAAACCAGGCATTGGTGGCGCACGCCTTTAATCCCAGCACTGGGGAAGCAGAGGCAGGCGAATCTCTGTGAGTTCAAGGCCAGCCTGGTCTCCAGAGTGAGATCCAAGATAGGCTCCAAAGCCACAGAGAAACCTGTCTCAGAAAACTGAAGGTGGGGGGGAACAAACTAAGTAAGCACTTTGATGGTAGGTAGAATGACAGGGCTCAGTGGGTAAAGGCGCTTGCGGCCAAGCCTGATGAACAGAGTTCAATCCCTGGAACGCACATGGTGGAAGGAGAGAAGTAATTTCTGCAAGTTGCCCTCTGATGTCTACATGTACATTCTGGCATGTGTGTACCTACACACACAAATAAAATAAAAATAAATATTTATGCCAGGCATTGGTGGCGCCAGCCTTTAATCCCAGCACTGGGGAGGCAGAGGCAGGGGGGGCTCTGTGGGGTG